CTGATCGAGGACCGGGCCGCGGGGACACTTAAAAAAAGCCCCGAAATCATCTCAAGATAACCTCAAGATAAGATGACCTACCACAGATAGGTCAAATCCCCTTGTGGATTTGTTCATTATCTTACTTAACTGAAACCTCAAATATAATGTAAACTGATGAAAGAAGTTACTGCTTGCATGATTTTCCTAAAATAAAAATGTCTGCAAGTAAGAGAACATTATTTTATGAGAATATTAACATTTTGTTTGCCAGTTAATACTGGCAAATAAGTAAGAAAAAGTGGCTAAAGAAATTATTACCTGCATTATGGAACAGCAAATAGCCATTTCAGGTATTTCAGCCAATCGAGGTGGCAGAAGACGAAGGTTTTTGATGTACACTTCTCTGGAATTCCCATAGTCTATAAAATGAACATTCATTTTGTTCTCTCTGAAATGAAGTAATTAATGTTAAATTCTAATTTGCTCCTGTATCTAATATCGTAAGATTCAAAGAATCAAATTGTAAGTCAGAGCTGAATGAAAATCCTTTGGTATACCCAGACAACAATTTGAACTTCAATTACTTTATAAAAGCACAGTAAAAACTATCAATAACTAACTAAAAGCAAATAGTAAAAAATATCAATAAGTCGGCTAGTTACACTAGCCGACTACTCACAGCATTAGAGCATCTTGATTAACACCATTAAAAAGGATGCCTGATCAACCTCGCTGTCATTTTATGTCAGACTGTAAGCAGTGTCTGACAGCCTGATTGAGCAGACCACCAACCAGGAGTCTGGTTGAGCCACAGGGGACATGGATGCCAGTAACGAACAAATGATTCAAATACTGTACTGTATGTGAAACACTCAAAATTCAGCTGCAACTAACCCTACCTCCCATGTAACTTTTCTAAAATTGTGACCAAGTTTTGTCATGGTTCTATATGGATGGAACCTGGATTACTGAGTGTATTGACCAAGTTACTGCAGTAACATATATAGAGAAAAAGCTTGAAGGTGAGATGCCAGAAGCACTTAAATCAGCAGATATAACTCCACTAAATGTGGGAGGTAGCAAAGCATTTTCTAAAAACTAGACAGGTCATACTATCATCAAACACAACTGGAGTTTTCAAAAGTGTCATGAGAAGTCAAATCTCCAGTTTGAAGGAGAACAATATATTTCACAACCCAGGTCAACTTGAATTTTGAGCAGGAAGATCCTGCTGTTCTCAATTATTCAACCACTATGACAAAATCACAGAAGCACTGAAAGAAAAACAAAGTGCAGATGTAGTACTGTATACATGAACTTTACAAGTCATTTAATAAATGTGACTAGGGAATATCAGCACATAAAATGAGAGCAATAGGAATAACAGGTAGTAGAGTAGGGCAATGGATATTCAATTTCATGACAAAATAATACAAAGAGTAACAGTCAAACAAAATCAGGCCCCCCCTAGCACGGTGAAAAGCTCTGTAACCCAGGACACCATCTTTGAACCACTGCCTTTCTCATTCACATATCAGATAAAGACAAGATCCAAGTCACAGCTTCATGTCAGTCTTTACAGACGATACAAAAATCAAGAGAATTAAGTCTGAAGAAGACATCAAAGATATTAATAAAGTCTTCAATTGGGCAACAGAAAACAACATGATGCTTAACATTGATATATTCCAGATACTAAAGTAAAAACAAAGAACAAACAAAATGCAGGGTCAAAGACACAATCATATCTCCTCATAGAAGGAAAACAATATGTAAAGGATCTGGGAATAATGATACCAGAGGACCTAAAATTTAGAGATCATAGCAAAACAATTGTAGCGTCAGCCAGAAAAATGATAGATTGATTATGAGAATGTTCAAGTTCAGGAATTTCCCCACAACGTGCCCACCATTCAAATCACTTGTGCTCTCCTGCCTTAAGTACTGCTCAGTACAGCATACATTTAACCTTTCAAAGCAGGGGGAGATTTCTGAAATAGAGGGAATACAGAGAACACAATTGGCATGAACAGACACCATAAAGCACCTAAATTATTAAGATTATCTCAAAGCTTTTAAATGTACTCTCTAGAAATGTATGCTTCAAGCAACAGCCTGCTGGACGAAGTTATCACAAGTAAAACCTGGCCCCAAGCCAGGCTTGGGTAGTAGAAGAACTCCCGGCCAACTCCAGTATATTCCAGGAACAAGGTGTGAAAGTGCGAGTAAGATGTGAAAGTGCAAGCAGGACACAAGACCAATTCATATTTGTACACAAGATGAGTAAAACCAATCCTATATGGAGTACATGGAACCATTATGATTCATCTCTTTCTACCTTGTAAACTTACTTAGCAAAATGCTTCAGCACCTGAGCCCTGTAGTAGAAGCCATCGTCCAAATATGGGGCAGCAACTCTTTGGCCTGGGTAGATTTGTTGCCAACAGTCATCAGTTTGCTTAAGGACAGCTTGGCTGTAATTAGAAAAAGTTACACATGTAGCAAAAAAAAAAATAAAGAAAAAATAAAACACAATTACCATAATTAATCTTCCCGAGATAGACAGACAAACTCACAACTTTGTTTACAAAAGTAAGCGATCTAATGTTTTTTGGCAGCTTTGTTTCCTTTGTAATTACACTTGGGTAATTCACCGTCTACATAAACGACCTACAAGATGGAATGCAGAATAATATGAACATGTTTACTGATGCTGCTAAGATTCTAGGGAAGATAAGAAACTTAGATGATTGTCAACCCCTTCAAGAAGACCTGGACAAAATAAGTGTATGGAGCACCACCTGACAAATGAAATTTAATGTGAATAAATGATAGGTTATGGAATGTGGAGTAGGAGAACATAGACCCCACACAACCTACAAATTATGTGAAAAATCTTTACAAAATTCTGATAAAGAAAGAAATCTAGGGGTGCTTCTTGATAGAAAACTATCACCTGGGGATTCCATTAAGAACATCATGCGAGAAGCCTATGTCACACTTGCCAATTTCATAATTGTTTTTAAATATATGGATGGTGAAATACTCAAGAAATTGTTAATGACCTTTGTTAAACCAAAGCTGGAATATGGAGTGGTTGTATGGTTGTATTTTTCTGAGTGCATGCAGATAATGCCATTGTGTAACCCTTGTGTAATACAAGAGTTAAGGCCAGTCATTGTCAATAACAAGGTCTAGATCAATACAACCAGTGTGATACCTCCAATCCATAATGTGAGAATCGAACAGGAACAAACAATGCCTTAAGCACTGAACTTTGAGGTATGTCATCTCAAAGCATAGCAGTCTCCGTGTTGCCAAGCTCATTCTAAACATTCTGGGCTGGATTGAACATTCTCTAGTCTCTCCCTAGCACAAGTATATTCTAACAGGTACAGTCCATTAGGTACACACTAAAAGATTTCCCACCTGTTTGGAATAGAATTTTCACTTACCAAAACACCTCCAAAGGATACTTGATCAACTAGGCTGTGTTTCATGTCAGGCTGCGAGCAGCCGCATCCAACAACCTGACTGTGGTGTGAAATTCTGGGCTGTGTGAATAAATAATAATGTATTTATTGTCCAGATCCTGGACAATCAGCCAGGAGGCCTGGTCAGAGAACGGGCAGCAGGGACCTTGACCACCGGAATCAACACAAGGTAACCACAAAGTAAGGTAACCCTCACTGTCACCGATCCTATCCAAAGGCAAGCAGTGCTCACTTGGTTGTATTTGCCGGATTGAGCCTCGTCTCTTCGGTCCCATCTCTCAACTGTCAATCGACTGGTGTATAGATTCTTAAGCCTATTGGGCTCTATCATAACTTGTATTTAGTGGTAGCTCTGTCTACCTACTAGTGTTATTCCTTAGGAAGTGATTAAGTGGAATAACTTAACTGAAAAATATTGCAGTGGAGAGTGAAATGCCACGAGTGTAGAAAGTACTGTATCTCAATGGAAATAATAATCTATTCGGGAGGTCCATTATTTCTTTTTTTAAGAAAGTAGCATGCCACTGGCAGCAATTTTGGGTAGCTATTGCAAGTTTAAATAGCTCAAATAAACAGCTGTTCTAAGGTCGACAGATTGTCATAATTAGTGTCAATTGCCTTTAATGGAATCCCTACTAATATTATTACTAATAAAAGCCAAGTAGTGAAGGAAAGAAGCTTGGACAAAAAGGGTAGGCACTTACTAGAAGGAAACAAGAATAAGAAAACTAGAAGCGAAGATGTCAATGCAAAACACGAGCCAAATATGAATAAAGATTAACTTACAAATCTAAACTATAGTTCATACTGTAATGTGAATAAAGGTTATCTCACAATTGGCAATTAATACATAAATAAATCTTAAAACCTACTTGAGTTCATCTTCTAACTCCTCGAGTCCAGAGTTAAGAAACTGTATCCACAATTTTTTTGAGGGTTCATAGGTACACACATAGACTTTCACTGGTTGATTCAGAGGTATGCTATTTGCAGCACTATTAACCGTTTGTGATGTGTCATGATGTGCAGGAGTATCTAACTGGTAACTAGAGGAACCTGAATCTACACTATCAACAATCAGTTTTGTTCCCCAAACTTGGTTTGTGGCATCCATCACCGCATCTTGGGCTTTGCTGATGTAATCTTGTGCTTCACATTCCTTATATGATGATTCACTATGGCTTTTCGAAGATGAAGTTTCTTCTTTGTCGAGATTCTTAATATCTAAAGAAAAAAACTAAAATTTTACAATGGAGTAACATATTTCAAGAAGATATATCTCAAAGAGTAAAAAAATTTATCTAAAAATATATAAAGTAAAATAAGAAAAAAACTTGATATGGTTAAAATGTGTGACAGCAATCAAATGAGATATCCCTGGGCCAGCGTAAACATGGTGGTGTAATGAGAATACGATACAATGAGTAACCCTTAGTGTGTGTTTATCGTCGTACGTTGATTCATGGGGGTAATGTGGTTATCAGCATACGTTGATTTAAACCATTATCGTCTGGGTTTCAGCAGAATGACACATGTGGATACAATATGTCTACGTGGATGTAGTGGAGTTAACCTCGACATGAAAAAATTCTGCTATCATTTCACGATTGCTTACTATGCAAATGTGGTTATTGTCGCAGGTGTTACTAAGCCAATGTGGTAATCGCCATGGAATAAAATTCCATTTAATTACACTGTATATACTGTATACCGATCATGTTCATACAGTTTTCACAACTCCAGATGGTTGTAAGAAGTACACCAGGTCAACCACTCATAATTTGAACATCATAATAATAAAGGAATTGCAGAAGGCATATTGTCTCATATGTGGAACCACCTATTTATATCATTCATATAAATAGGAGCTGCTTCATATAGGTGAATAGGCCCATACATGAATGAGTTTGGAAGGTTATAAGGGTCCCAGTAGTTTAGTCAGGTTTGTTCTCAATTCACAATCGAGAATTCCAGTTTTGAATCCCGGGAGAGACAGAAATGATTGAGCACATTTCCTATCACCTAGTGCTCTGTTCTCCTAGCAGTAAACAGGGACCTAGGAGTTAGTCAGCTTGTTGTGGTGTTGCATCCTGGGAAGGAGCAGTAATTTGACCCTGAGGAGAGGGGGAAGGGGTGAACCTCAAAATAAGCCTAAAATGTACTATATGTATAAACTACCTGCCTGTCCTCCGACACAATGAATTATTATTACTAAGATTTATAAATAGGAGCCAGTGCCTATTTAAATGGTTTGTATACACAGGAACTGAAAGGAATGGGCCAATAGGCCATTTGCAGTTTCCCTAGTTCCTACTGCTGTAGGCATACTTTAACCGATTCATTCCTACATATGATCATCTAGACACCAAAGGTCAACACCGAGTGCGTGTGGCTCCAGCAGTGTTTTGCTGACAGGGAACTCTGGCAATGAGATGGGGCTGGACCACCACACGTTGCCGTACATGGCTATACACTCAATTTGTTCAGTGCACAATACCAGCGATAATGTAGATATTCTGTTTATTTCCCCTTTCCCATACATTTTGCATCCAAATAAATTATTATTATATATATTATATATATATTATATATATATATTATATATTATATATAATTATAATTGTATCAGACCACGGAGGAAGAAATGAAACAGTAATTTCCTTAAGTACTTTCGTATATTAATACATCTTCAGAAAGAATTTCCATGCCTTCTGAGGATGTATTAATATATGAAAGTACTTAAGGAAATTCCTGTTTCAATTCTTCATCCGTGGTCTGACACTCAGATTTTTCATCACATGTTAATTTTCGTGATTTACACACACATATATAATGTGTATTTAATTTTTTTGCATAAGCTAACATGTATCTAAACTGATAGCTACATTTTAAGGGTTAAAGGGAGTTGTAAGGAATACAGTACAATTTTCATAAAACACAGAGTTGCAAAGCTCACTATTTAAAACTTAAGAAGTAATTACCTATGACTGGAGGGATCCTTGAAATACTTTCCAAATACGTCAAGTCTTCAAGTCGAGCCCAAGAAGTTTGGACTGCTGCATCCTTATTCAGGCACTGGACATCACTACTTTCCCTGTTATAAGGTATTAAGCGTTGGGAGATCACTTTCGCATCTCTCTTAATGTTTTCATCTGAACACTGTGGTGTGACATTCAGTTCTCCGGTAAGGTTTTTATTGTCACACCTTGGGCATGTACCGAGAGGACACTTATCAAACATGCAAATACTTTCTAAATCCCAATGATCTGAAATGAGATGCAGAGAATCAATTCATCCAATAACACTAAAAACATCAGATACTAAATCATACACAATGATAATTTACAACACTTCAACTAAAGAGCAATAAAGGGGTCCCCAAGAAATACAGTACTGTACAGTGTATGTATGTATACGTGTGTGTGTGTGTGTGTATATATAAATCACTAATATTGAAATTTGTATATCTAATTCTAAAAAAAAATCTGGAAGCCATAAAAAGTAGAGCTCTAAACCCAAGAAAACAATGCATAAATCTTCAAAATAAAGAAAGGTGGTTACAAAAAAATATACGTACAATATAATAATAATAATAATACAAACCTAATTTAGTGTAATTCATGTATTCCTGTAGCATCTGCTGTATGGATTTCTGCAGGTCAAGTGATTTCTGAAAGTAGTATTTCAGTTTTGGAACCACTTTCAAAAACTGATGTTGTGGTAAATACTTTACATTAAGGGCAGCATCAGACACCTGTTAAGAATGAAGGAGAATTATTGCACCATGCATAGCAGACCGAGCACTATACAACATGTATGCTACCTCATTTAATTTTAAGGTTGGTGGAAAAAATATTTCAATCACTGGCTATTCAATTGTTCTAATCACCATACTGTGTTTGCAAGGAATGTTCTCCCGCTTCTGGGACCTATAAGCATATGGGTTTCAACTTTTACTCTTGATCTGTGAATAATATAATAAATAATAATAATAAATAATAATAATAATAAAAATAATATAATAATAAACCGACTGATATTTCTGAATAACCTCTCTAATACCATGACAAGATTTTTCCCTTTAAAATACTGTAAATAGCTTATTTGAAAATATTGTCTTGATTACAACCATGCATATTAGCTCTAAGAACATTTTTAAGTATTTTTAGTTAGTTAAATATATATACTAATTAAAATTGTAATTTATATATTCCAATTTATAAACACATTCTCTTGAACTTTCCTATATATTAGTAACACTATATTAACCCTTTAATGTTTTTGTGACGCCTACAGTCGTCATTTGCTCAAAAGGCCAGAACATTCCGATGATGACTGTAGTAGTCATTTTCAGGGTCATGTCAGTTAACTCTTTATTTTGCTTTTATTTCATTTTTAAAAATACCATCAAAGTACAACTCTTTAGCTTAAAAAAACAGTGTTGAATGTAATGAAATGACATTTTCTGGGCGAGACCCGGAGGTTTTCTTTAGCTACACCGGGGTGATGAGTATATATTAGACCGTGGCAACAGTCAATCGATGGAGTTCTAGGTCTATAGAATCCCCCATGTGGTTGGAAGCAGTCAATGTCTGCCATCTACCAGGTCAGGCATCCAGAAAGGTAGGACTCCTAGAACAAATTCCAGCTGGTTAAAAATTGCAAACCGAAAGCTGTACGAGCAGGCAGAACTCCCCAATCGGAAAACAATCAAACAAGCATGACATCACCACAGCCGAAACCAAAGTCGATGCGACTAACACCCTCAAGCCCGGGTCCCTATAACCCAAACAGGGCAGCCGCGGAGCATCCAGAAAGGCAACCAAATGAGTTCTATGCAGCAACCTAAACCTCGCATGCAACGCGGAAGCTGCCTGCACCCGAATATCAGTAACAGTGGACTAGATGAACTGGAGTACATGCAAAGAACACCACTCGCAACACTCCGGGTCAAAGGTGTCATTGACCCAACAGGCAGCATGGCAGAGGCAAAGATGGTGAACGTCACCCTGAGACAAGGGGACAGAGCAACCTTCAAACTCACATGAAGCGAGGTGGAACTCCATTTGGGCTCATTGGTCCTCCATTGGACCAATGAGCCCAAATGGAGGTTTCTAGGGCCCTTAGGCTGACTGCTAAGGGAAACCCAGACAATGTACTGTTAACCGGTTATCCCAGAGCTACCAAGCAATCAAACTAAAAGTTGAACCCCTGCGACGTGCACAATCACGGAGGCCTAGAGAAGGGCCACCAAAAATACAATGGGACCTAAAACCACACAAGGCAGACCCCCCACCAGGGAAATGAAACAAAAAGAAAAGAAAAACCCCACAAAAGTACAATGTCTCCAGGGAGAACAGAATCGGTCACTATGCGTATATCAGACAGCTGAACAGTACCTTGCGCTCCAATCAGCGACAATACTACCTCCTACCCAAGGCCAAACAGAGCAGGAACAACCCCAGCTGACCCCAAGGGTGGGCAATCACCGAGTAGCAAAAGTACCCTGCGGAGGTAGTTCCCGAACGACTTATGGAAGATAACCCTTAAACCGCAAAGGAGGTACTTACAGGGCATCTAGGGAAGGTGACCCTGAGTGCATGCAGCCCTAGTACTTCTGGAATTACTCCTGGCTCTCACACCATCACACCACAAGGCACAGCATTGCTCAAGAATAGGAGCCAGAGTCGATCGATCGCCACCCAACACAACAGCCTCAGAACTGGGATTGGGTAGCTGCCACGGTAGGTTTGGGGCTCCTTCAACCTCCCGGGGAGGGAGGAGCAATGACCTATAGACATCCCCAACCACATGGGGGTGCCCATAGGTCTTTGCTCCTCGTGTCTCTGAGGGGGCCAGGTTCTGGCTCATGGTCCCCGGAAGGCCTAAAACTCTATCGATTGACTATTGCCACGGTCTAATATATATACAGTACACAACCCGGTATAGCTCTGGGGAGCCGGAGGGGCTCTCCACAGAAAAATACCAAATTGAACACTTTACCATGCACAATAATTTCACAGCATGCATTAGAACGTAAAATGTTGCTAGGTGATTTGCATTAGGCCCAAGATGCTGGTAGCCCCCAAAATAAATAAGGGGTCAAAACTGTGAAAGGGCAATGCACAACATTATCACAGGACCATATTCAAAATAACTTACAACTGATCTACAATGACCTACAATTGAGAATAGGTTACAATAACGTGGCTAAAAAAGTAGAAACTGAACCCACACAGCTGAATGTCCATATAGTTTCAAAACTTGCTGAAAAGCCATGATTGATTAGCAGCATTGAAAAATATAATACAGTACGGTATCATATGTATACAATGTAACATAACTAATGTACGTGTATTTTTTTAAATAAATAATACAGTAATAATAAATAATATTTTATTTAGGCTAAAATACATACATACAGTATGTACATTTTTTTTTACATAGTATACAAGCAGATTGTAGGATAAGATACTTATCTTGTTGACCAAACCTCACACTAGAAAGTGAAGAGACGACGACGTTTCGGTCCGTCCTGGACCATTATCAAATCCTAGTGTGTAGTTTGGTCAACATTTCTCAGTCACGTTATTGTGACTCCTCATCTGCATACATATCTTGTATCCAAGCTTGTACATAGGATACAAGCAGATTGTAGGATTCATAGGCAAGGCAAGTACGATGCCCGAAGCCATTAATACACAGAGCTTTTCAAGCATAAGATGGAAAAAAAACTTTAAAATTCAAAATAAATTAGATAAAAACAATAATGAATTGAAGTAGAGAAATAAAAATAAAAGGACAATTATTACATGATGATTGGAACAGCATAAATTGCAACAGAATAACAGATAGTAATTTTGTCAGAAGGAATATAATTTTGTACAGTATTCTATTTTTACACAGCAGATAATAACATCATTACAGGCTCAATAACTAATGTTCAGTAACAGTAAAACACAGGTTGACATTTAGGAAGTAGAAAGTCAAGTAATGGCGATGAAGAAAGATCAAAACAAAACTTTGCACCACATGTAATAGCAGTGTGCCAAGTGCATATAATTGCCAGGGGGAAATTTACCATTGTAATTTGCTCATCAAGCTGCAGCTTAGTTTTACTGATTGCCAACTCAACTCTGTGCAGCAAGTGCTGTAGATGGTACTGTTTTTGTTCCTTCTCACACTTCTCCATGATGCTTCTATCTGTTTAAAAAGAAAGGAAAACACTGATATTAGCAAAAAAACGACTAACAAATTTAAGGAGCTATTTCCTATAAATTAAATAATTAAATAAAAAAATAAATTTATGTTCGTGTACACCCAAATACAGTACCATTTGATTCCAAGTCCATCTTATAATCTGTAATGTTATTGGTTTTGTTACATGCTCTGGAAATCATTCAAGGTCTTCCTTAGTCCAATATGTCCTATCCTCAGTCATTTTCCATTCCTAGACTTCACTTCTCACTGTTGGGGACAAAAACCTTATTGAGGTTTTCCTAGGCCAACTACTGACCAGGATGCTAATCCACACAGGATAGTAATCTCCTGGGTACCTACAGATTTACATGTAGAGAACTGTTAAGTGAACAGGGCATTAGGTGAAAGAAATATGCTGTCCAGTTACACAGGAATAGAGCTCCAGACTTTTCGGTTGTGAACCAACTACACTGGCTCTCACTTCTCAAAATAAAATCTTATACACGATGTTCATTTACTATACAGTACTGTATATACTTTTACCTAAATAAAAATTTATCATTATTTATATTTATTTATTTTACCACACTTCCCCATGCGTAGAACAGTACTTAACACAAACATGTCAGAGACGAAAGGTCCTGGGGTTCAATTACCATGGCAGTACAGAAGTGTTTGAGCTCTGTTTCCTTTCATCTACTGCCACTATTTCCCTAGCAGTAAGTAGGTTCCCAGGAGTGAGGTAACTTTTGTGGGTTGCATCCTGACAAAGGTAGGTACAGTTGACCTAGAAAGGAACTTCAATAAGCTTAACAGCCTTCCTGTTAAGCTGTTTCTGCCCAACTATGGGGTACCAAACCAGCTATTCCAGTTTACCCGAGAGCCACTAACGCTAGAGGCCTCGACGAGGACACAGCCCAACCACTTGCACTGGACGGTAGAGCGACGGTCTCGCTTCATGCAGGTTGGCGTTCAATCCCTGACCGTCCAAGTAGTTTGACACCATTCCTTCCCTCCGTCCCATCCCAGATCCTTATCCTGACCCCCTTCCAAGTGCTATATAGCCATAATGGTTTGGCCCTTTCCCTTTATAATTTCTTGGGCCCCCCCCCCCTCCCAATTTTGTCTTGAATATCTTTGAAGGTTAACAGAGTTTAGACAATTACGGCTTCGGCTACTATTTACTATTGGGCGAAGAAGGAAGAACCATTACACCTCCCCCAGGGCTCAAACCCAGCACCGATACTGCTAGAGAGGCACAAATATATCAAAATAGAAGTCATACCTGAGTGTTGATGTTGTCAGTTTTGTTGTTGATGAAGAAATAGTCAACAACAGAGAGTATAGGGCCCCCCAAGTACCACCCCCCTTTCAGTGTGCCGGGAATAACCAAACCCGGAGCCTATAATATACCCAATCGGCGGAAAAAGCAGCACTGTGGTAGATGGTTGATTACTGTACTGTATGGCAGGCGCTGGGTGACACCCTGACCTCTGACCGGGGAGGTCAGTACCCACCACACACACACACACACACGGGGTCAGGTGTATCCAGGATACTATAGGGACAACAAGGGGCGCCAGGACCAAATTGCTGAAAGTAGCGAGCTGACGAGTCAAAAAGTACTTTTTGTACTTTAAAAGTACTTTAAAAAGTATTACTCTTCTTGTTCCTTCGCCATTGTTGTTTCCTACTACGTAATAGTATTCTATTTAATTTAACCTCATCTATCATTAGGTTAGGGGCCTTACCTCCAACCGCTATTCCTTCCCCTGCGCTCTGCTCGCTTGGCGCACAACGCCGGCTTCTTCTGTTCCCTTATTTCGCAGCCACGACAAGCCGGAACCCACCCCGCCTCCTCACCCTACTGCGGCGAGGAAGAGAACGCGAGCCGGATATCCCTCTGATCACCATTACAACGCACGCAGCGGCGCCGGGAGGCAGCCGCCCTGGGCCTACGTTAATACTATTATCTTCCCTTATTTGCTGGGCTATATGGTAGTATTAATATTATTCCGTATCGTTACTGTCACTCCAGTATTATTTTATTAAAAATATAAATTGTTATTATGGTTTGGCGTTGCTTTCTTAATTTCTTCCATTCTGCGGCACTTGCCGTCATCGGTTATTTACGATATTACATTGTATTCTTACATTGTACGATTATTTACGACATTGTATTCTTATTATTATCCTTATTACAGTTACTGGATGACAGTTCCCTGCCGTCGATTTCACTTTGCTCCTGTTCTAAAAGATGTAGCCGAAGTTCACGGCGTACTAGCTGCGGCTTGTAGACGCTCATTGACAACACAAGACTACACTCAGCGGCCACTTAAGGCAGACTCCTTGGCTTCTATCCAGCCCAATCACCCGTCTGGAGGCAGAGATGGGATAGAGACCAAGGGTAATGTTCCCAGCTCACATTCTACATCCGCTTAGGACACAAGCATGTTATAGATTTGGCTTTAAGAATTGGTTCTTATTCCATTTTATTGTTTATGTATATGTTGCTTGGTTGTGTATACCCGTTCTTGGTATATGTATTGTTTATATTCAAGAATTATAGTGTTTCGTATTACCCTGTTATAGTTGCTTTGTGCTTCCTTGCTGTTCTCCTACTGGCTTTCTCCCACCTTTGCTCTTAGCAAAGGTACTTCCCCCTTCCGTTTGCTGGAAGATTCTTAGAATTGTTAGCCCCCTTCATTGCTACAGTATAATTATTCGGAAAGCTCTTTATTCATCCAGGATTGTTAATTAAGGATTCTCTTAATTCCTGCTGCCGGGCTCCCTCCCCCCGTTTTTCGTCTCCGTATTGATTCAGCTAGGGTTTCCCTCTCGTCTGCGCTCTTGCCTGTCACGATAACACCGCACGCCGCTTCTGCCCACCCTTACTGCCTTATATCTTTCAGCCCGGGGGAGGTGAGCTACGCGACAAAAAATCGACGCACGCACCGACTGGATCAGGTATCGCTTACATGGCCAGGAATCAACACTCTTCGGATCCTACAAGCACAGATCCTACAAGCGCCCCTGTCACCAGGCGAGATTTCTCCAGGATCCTACGCGCTGCCCTCTCGGCGCTAGGCTTGCCTTCAGATGACTACGCTCCGCACCCAGCTGTCTCGGGACGGGCTCGCCACATCAGAAATAATGGCAGACGGCAGGCGGAAGAGTAGTGCTCTCACATCCTACGTCAGACGGGACGTTGTTGCTCTGCCACTTTGAGTGCCTCACGCGGCCAGCTGGCACTCGCCCTTTGGGGGGGGGGGGTCCGGCCGCTGGCCTGCGGTGGGGGTGCAGCGCCGGTCCCCAAGTGTCCCGCTGTCCGCAGCTAATACTTTGCCCAGTCTAGGTGCTAGTAAGCCCTACTTGTAGTCACACCCCCTTCTCCTTATCCATTAGGCCTTTTACGGCCTCTTGGCCGGGTACATTACGTGTTATGTGGTCTCACTTATTAGTTATTCTTTGTGTCCTGCCTGTTATATCCTAGTGTTATATAATTACTACACATTTGCACTCGGCCTTAATTCTAGTACCAGTTAACCTTTAGGTTTCTGCAGAATTAGTTTCCATGTCACTATAGGCTAAGGTCTCATACTTACTACGGGTGTACCTTTTAAGTTAAATCTAGTCCTCGGACTTGGAATTGTTACTGTTAATTCTTACTTTATATATTTACTTTATATATTTTAATATAAACGTTATATATTTACTTAATTTATATATTTGAAACTTTATATATTTACATGTTCAATATTAAGTTTAATATAATATAAACTTTGTTATAAGTCTATAATATAAACCGTGTTTAATATAAACTTTATATAATTACTTACTTTATATATTTGAACTTTATATATTTACATGTTCTGCAGAATTTAATCTTCAATAAATTTAAAGCCCCATACTGCCAGTATCTTTCTCCCCCTGATCAGAAAATATGCTGTCCAGTTACACAGGAATAGAGCTCCAGACTTTTCGGTTGTGAACCAACTACACTGGCTCTCACTTCTCAAAATAAAATCTTATACACGATGTTCATTTACTATACAGTACTGTAATACTTTTACCTAAATAAAAATTTATCATTATTTATATTTATTTATTTTACCACACTTCCCCATGCGTAGAACAGTACTTAACACAAACATGTCAGAGACGAAAGGTCCTGGGGTTCAATTACCATGGCAGTACAGAAGTGTTTGAGCTCTGTTTCCTTTCATCTACTGCCACTATTTCCCTAGCAGTAAGTAGGTTCCCAGGAGTGAGGTAACTTTTGTGGGTTGCATCCTGACAAAGGTAGGTACAGTTGACCTAGAAAGGAACTTCAATAAGCTTAACAGCCTTCCTGTTAAGCTGTTTCTGCCCAACTATGGGGTACCAAACCAGCTATTCCAGTTTACCCGAGAGCCACTAACGCTAGAGGCCTCGACGAGGACACAGCCCAACCACTTGCACTGGACGGTAGAGCGACGGTCTCGCTTCATGCAGGTTGGCGTTCAATCCCTGACCGTCCAAGTAGTTTGACACCATTCCTTCCCTCCGTCCCATCCCAGATCCTTATCCTGACCCCCTTCCAAGTGCTATATAGCCATAATGGTTTGGCCCTTTCCCTTTATAATTTCTTCCCCCCCCCCCTCCCAATTTTGTCTTGAATATCTTTGAAGGTTAACAGAGTTTAGACAATTACGGCTTCGGCTACTATTTACTATTGGGCGAAGAAGGAAGAACCATTACACCTCCCCCAGGGCTCAAACCCAGCACCGATACTGCTAGAGAGGCACAAATATATCAAAATAGAAGTCATACCTGAGTGTTGATGTTGTCAGTTTTGTTGTTGATGAAGGAATAGTCAACAACAGAGAGTATAGGGCCCCCCAAGTACCACCCCCCTTTCAGTGTGCCGGGAATAACCAAACCCGGAGCCTATAATATACCCAATCGGCGGAAAAAGCAGCACTGTGGTAGATGGTTGATTACTGTACTGTATGGCAGGCGCTGGGTGACACCCTGACCTCTGACCGGGGAGGTCAGTACCCACCACACACACACACACACGGGGTCAGGTGTATCCAGGATACTATAGGGACAACAAGGGGCGCCAGGACCAAATTGCTGAAAGTAGCGAGCTGACGAGTCAAAAAGTAGCGAATTTGTAATAAGAGTTGCAAATGATATTCCATCTTCCAGTACTGACATTAAGGACTATCTTACAGGTAACTATCCACAGTCTCTGTACCTAAAGCCTATTAATTCCACTGACGTCAATGAGATAATCCTTTCCCTTAAAACCAAGTCTGGTGCCCTTGAGGAGATACCAACTTTAATTTACAAAAAAGCCTCCAGATCTTTAGCCCCTGCTATTGCTTTGCTCTTCAACAAGTCACTTGAACTCCAAACCTTCCCAGATATTCTAAAAAAAGCGAGAGTAACGCCTGTCCACAAATGTGGTGATCTCACAGATGTTAACAACTACAGACCTATATCTATCCTGCCAAACTTGTCAAAAATTTTTGAAAAACTAATCTATAAGCAGCTTTACTCTTATCTAGCCAAACTCAATATACTTAGCCCTTGCCAATATGGCTTCAGACCCAAAAAAAGCACTAACGATGCACTTATTAGTATGCTTAACTCGATTCATACAGCTCTTGATAAAAATGAGTTCCCTGTTGGGTTGTTTGTGGACCTGCGTAAAGCTTTTGATACTGTCAACCACCAAAACCTTCTTCTTAAATTACATCATTATGGAGTCAGAGGTCACTCCCTACAATACCTCAAATCCTACCTTACTGACAGGCTCCAATATGTTTCTATGAATAATACAATTTCTCCCACCTTACCCATCAACATTGGTGTTCCCCAGGGCAGCATACTTGGCCCTCTCCTCTTTCTCATCTACATTAATGACCTTCCAAATGCCTCCCAACACCTCAAACCAATTCTATTTGCTGACGACACAACCTTCATTTATTCCAGTCCTGATCCCCTTGCTCTAAATGCCACAGTAAATACTGAGCTAAATAAAGTCCATCTGTGGCTAACTGCCAACAAACTCACCCTTAACATTGACAAAACTTTCTATATTCTGTTTGGCAATAAATCCTCTAATCAAATAAATCTCAAAATAAACAATACCCAAATTTGTAACAAATTAGATGGCAAATTCCTTGGCATTCTCATTGACCACAAGCTGAATTTCCAGGGACACATTCTAAACATATCAAAAAAAGTTTCAAAAACTGTGGGCATTCTTTCTAAGATCAGATATTATGTACCACGCCCTGCCCTGGTGACTCTCTATTACTCCCTTATCTATCCATATCTCAACTATGGTATTTGTGCTTGGGGCTCTACTACCCAATATCACTTACGTCCTCTAATTACTCAACACAAAGCTGCTATTAGGACAATATCCAATTCTGGCCCCAGACATCACTCGGTACCCCAACTTAAATCTCTGAATATGTTAGACATTAAGTCACTGCACATTCTCTCATGTGTATTATACATATATAAAACGCTAAACTATAATGCCAATCCTGATCTCAAAAGCTTCATAGAAGGATGTAACAGAACCCATGAGCACCACACCAGAAATAAATACAGTTTTGATATTCCTATAGAGTACGACTTAATCAAACTAGAAATGCTCTACAAATCAAGGGGCCCAGAATGTGGAATGACCTTCCCAACCATGTTAAAGACTGTACCTCTCTCAACCAGTTTAAGTTAAAAACGAAGCTATACCTAATAAATTCCCTGTAACCTACCTTACCCTTCTATTGTCAACCAATGTCTGTT